AAAAAAAAAAAAAAGAAACATTCAACTTTTAGTTTGTATTTAATGAAAGAGAAAGACATATTGCTTAAGACAAAAACAAAATGAGTCCAGCAGTTAGCATATATACTATATTTGCTAGCAGAAGGTAGAAAAAAAAAATAGGATTGGTTGCAATTTGAGTAAGTCTTTTAAGACGTGATTCAAATAGGTAGCATAGAGTGGAAGTTAAGAACACTGACCATGGATCCAGAATGCCTGAGTTTAAATTCTGGCTAAACCACTGACTGGCTGTGTGACCTGGGTCAAGCTGTTTAGCCTCTCAGTGCCTTGTGAGAGTCACAGACTTCTGTTTTGGCTCTGGCTCCTAACATATACGCATCATGTTCATAATTTCTTACCAATGCCCTATGCTTTGCTCTCACAGACATCTCCCTTTAAAAGGATAAATCCTGTGATATACATATACAATGAAATACCACTCAGCCATAAATAGGAAGGAAATCATGCTAGCTAGTTATTTATTTATTTATTTATTTATTTATTCATTCATTCATTCATTCATTCATTCATTCATTTTGAGAAAGAAAGGGAATGTAAGGGGCAGAGACAGGAGAGAAGGAGAATCCCAGGCAGGCTCCTCACTGTCAGGGCAAAACCCGATATGGGGCTTAAACTCACAAACCATGAGATCAAGACTTAAGCTGAAGTTGGATGCTTAACTGAGCGACCCATATGCCCTGGAAATCCTGCTATTTGCAACAACATGGACAAACCTGGAGGGCATTATGCTGAAAGAATTAAGTCAGGCAGAGAAAGACAAATACCGTGTGATCTCACTTATGTGTGGAATCTAAAAATGACAAACTCCTAGAAACAGAGTAGTCTGATAGTTACTGGGACCTGGAGGGATCAGGGAAATGGGGAAATATTGCTCAAGGGGTACAAACTTCCAGTTATAAAATGAGTAAATTCTGGGCATCTAAGATACAGCACAGTGATTACAGTTAACAACACTGTATTGCACACTTGAAGTCTGCTAAGACAGTAGATCTTAAATGTTCTCACCATACACACACACAAAAGGTAATTACATGAGGTAATGGATGTGCTAACCTTACTGTGGTTATCATTTCACAATATATACATATACATATGAAGTCATCATGTTGTACACCTTAAACTTAATGTTATCTGTCGACCATATTTTAATAAAACTGAAGAAAAAGGATGAGTCCTTTTGAAATTAAAGATAAAAAAAGACAAAGTCTTAACAGGAAGTTGTCATGATTACTCCCTACATTTCCAAATCTGCTACAAATCTGAACCCAGAACAGCCAGCACAGTTCCTAAAGCTAGGCTTCATCCTTATCAAGAAAATACAGAAGGCAAGGTGCCTGGGTGGCTCAGTTGGTTGGGTGTCCAACTCTTGATTTCAGCTCAGGTCATGATCTCATAGTTCGTGGGATCAAGCCCTGCATCAGGCTCCATGCTAACAGTGTGGAGCCTGCTTGGGATTCTCTTTTCCTCTGTCTCTGACCCTCACCCCACTTACGTGCACCCGTGCTCTCTCTCTCCCTCAAAATAAATCAGTAAAACCTTGGTTTGCAAGCATAATTCGTTCCAGAAACATGCTTGCATTCCAAAGCACTTGTATATCAAAGCACATTTGAAGAACCATTGGCTCAAATGTGATCATGTGACATTTGGCATCATGTACTACTTGTATTGCAAGGCACTGCTCATTTATCAAGTTAAAATTTATTAGAAATGTTTGCTCTTCTTGTGAACACCTGCAGAGTAAGTTATTCGCAATGCAATGTTTTACTGTAAATAAAACTTAAAAAAAAAAAACAAAGAAAATACACAAGGCAGGGAAAGACTAGAAGCCTTATGGGTTTGAGGACTCCTGACTAATGACTTTTTATTGGTGTTCTG